CGCCAAATCTTCCACCGTGTCCACCATGACATCCGTATCCTCCATGAATTCTGTATGGTGGACATGGGGAGCAAGTATTTGAAAGAAAAGTGCAGATAGAGATGTGAGTCTTTTCCCCAAAACCACAGCCATAGACACTGTGGGCTTTGGGTGCAACTGTACCACAACGACGAGGACCGATTATGGACTTTGAAGTCATGGAGAAGGAGCTGAAGGAGGACTTGGGGTTGGAGAAGGAGCAGGGCTTGGGGCAGGTTTTGGAGCAGGTCTCTGGGCAGCTTGTGGAGCCAGTCTCATAGCACGTCTTCAGACAGGTCTCGGGGCAGGTCTTGGGGAAGGTGAAGGAGCTGGGTTTGGGTCAGGTTTCGGAGCAGGTCTCAGAGCAGGTCTCAAAGCAAGTCTTCAGACAGGTATCAGTGCAGGTCTTGGGGAAGGTGAAGGAGCACAACTTGGGACAGGTCTCGGAGCAGGTCTCTGGGCAGCTTATGGAGCAGGTCTCAGAGCAAGTCTTCAGACAGGTATCAGTGCAGGTCTCGGGGAAGGTGTAGGAGCTGGGTTTGTGGCAGGTCTCGGAGCAAGTCTCTGGGCAGCTTATGGTGCAGGTCTCAGAGCAGGTCTTGGGGAAGGTGAAGGAGCAGGACTCCGGGCTGGTTTTGAAGCATGACATGGTGGATGGATGAACGGAAAAGAGGACAATACAAAAAATGCTCGAATTGTCCTGAAGAGTATAGTGTCATTGAGGCCAGCTCTATCATCTTAAATAGTTGGAGCTTGAGGGCGGGTTCTACAATTTGACAAAGGGTGTGTGTGTGTCACCATCAGGAGTATTAGAACTCAAGGACCAGAGTATTCCACTCTAATGAGGAAGCTGCAAAGGAATTTGTGTGTGTGTGTGTGTGTGTGTGTGTGTGTGTACATATATATTTCTGAATAAAAGTTGGTGACTAACTGGACAAAGCAGACAATTATGAGTAAGTTTTAACAATTTAAATGCTATGAAGATAGCAGTTCGGGTGGAGTTTCAATTATACACATGACTCAAAGTTCAATGAACAGACTTAATGCCTTCACAACAAAGATAGACTTAAGCACAACATCAGAGAGGCTTACTAAAATAATTTGAAAATAAAATAAGTTAATTTTGAAATTACTGCTATTATTTTTCCACATACATCATTGGGGTCTCGAGCTCAAAACATAAAAATAAAGTCAGAAAATTAGGTTTAAGTTTGTGAATTAACCTTGAAAATTCAAACCTGCTCCATTCAAAAAGTCTTTCAAGCTTCTTGAGGGATCACTTCAATACAATGTTTTTCTTCACAGATTTCTCCTCAGAATATAAACTTATGAAATATGGAGGCTTGTGGGAAACTTCAAGACTTAAATCAGCTAATGTACTCATCAAAATATAGTTAGATTTTTATATATTTATATTCATTGTTTCTAGCAAAACATTTAAAAATGCATTAAACAGGAACGTTTGGAAAACATATAATAAATATGAGTAATTTTCCTTGGCAGTAGGCTGGAAAACAGG